ACACTAACCAACCCGAGGATGCTACACTTAGCTAATCCTCAAAAACCCAATTACAATATGAAGAAGGGAAAATGAAACTCTGTCTGGAACTCCGTGAGCAGGTTCAGGTGCCTTGGACTTCGTGAATATTCTCGTGTATATTTCTCAATATAAGCTCGGTCAAGCACACATTTCGTCTGGTCCTTTGTCCAATATATATAGCATCCGTAGCCTCGTCTTTCCTTTTATTCAAAGATCTTCCGGCTCACAATTATGGTGATCCTCGGTCAACCATATAAATATGGAAGTATATCAATAATAAAACAGATATGGAGAATATTACGTATCACATATAAGGAGAATATTTTGTTCTCCTAATATAAGCATCCAACGGATATTATCAACATATTTATATAATTAATGATTAGTTCTCAAGAATATGTAACGATCATATAAGTAAAATAAGGTGCTACAGAATATGCAACCCAAAGATACTTTCCATAATATAATGACTTAGTAGCATTAAGTGATAAGGAAATGTTTACTTAGTGGATCTAAATATGCTACGGTCGATTTGTGCGGGATTCTTAACATAGTGGATTTTTATGTAGCATTAATAGTGAATCTTTCCATAAGCTATATAGGCCAACTCATAGAGGTGAGTACTTAGTCATATACGGAAAGATATTTAACTTGTGCCACGTATATTAAGAATATGCATGATCAATCTAGGCATGTAGATGAGGTATTATCATGCAGGCTCATATTGATTTATTCATTATGCACACCACTCATTCATATAGATCAGAACTAAGTATAGTTCCAATTCTCGTTCCTAATGGACCTGAGAGTAGTTCTGTCCGCCATTCCACCTACATGGTTAGTCATCAACAAAACAACATATACAACAGAGGGGAAAAGATGATGTGAGATCACTCCTCCACACGAATACCCGCCTTCCACTTTGCTCTCTCCAAAGCCATACCCTCATCCAACCCAAGAAGAAGCATATCACTTCGGACTCCCCTAACCCATGTCTGTTCGGGCCTTCATCCCCATCTCTTCCCTTCCTCTTCTCCACACATCTCAACTCGTCTGACAGGTGCATCACTCGGTCTTCTATGCACATTACCAAACCACCGTAGGCGCAACTCCCACATCTTGTCTTCAATAGGTGCTACTCTCACCCTTTGTGTGATTGTCTCATTCCTCACGTGGTCCTTTCTAGTATGCCCACACATCCAACGCAGCATGCGCATCTCTGCCACACTCATCATTTGATTGTGACATTGTTTCACCGCCCAACACTCTACACCATAGAGTAATGCCCGCCTAATTGTTGTCCTATAAACTTTACCCTTCAGTCTAGTCGGCATACCTCGATTGCATAGAAATCCTGATGCACTCTTCCACTTCATCCACTCTGTTCTGATTCTATGGGATACATCTCCATCTAACTCACCGTCCTTCTGAATTATGGAGCCTAAGTAACGGAACATATTGCTGACCGATATCTCCTTACCATCTAGGGTAATTCCCCTATTACCACTGCTTCTACCTCCACAAAACTTGCACTCCATGTACTTTGTCTTGCTCCGACTTGGTCTGAAACCCTTGTTCTCCCATGTTTGTCGCCATACTTCCAACTTTGCTGTAAGACCTGATTGTGTCTCATCAATCAATACAATATCGTCAGCAAACATCATGCACCACGGTATATCGTCTTGAATTGACTTCGTAAGTTCATACTTGACTATGGAAAATAAGAAAGGGCTTAGAGCCGATCCTTGGTGCACTCCGATAGTAATAGGGAACTCTTCAGTCCTCCTTACACTAGACGGACACTTCTAGTACAATCCTCATACATATCCATGATGATGCTGATACACTTGCGTGATAGGCCTTTTCTAGTTAAGGCCCACCAAAGAACTTCTCGAGGTACCCTATCATATGTCTTTTTCTAAGTCAATGAACACCAAATGCAGATCCTTGTAAGCGTCTCTATACTTCTGTATAAGTTGTCGAAGAAGGTGAATAACCTCAGTTGTTGAGCGACCAGGCATAAAACTGAATTGATTCTCTGAAATCTTCACAGTTCTTCGAAGTCTTTGCTCAATCACTTGCTCCCAAAGATTCATGGTGTGACTCAAAAGCTTAATCCGTCAATAGTTGGCACATTTTTTTACATCACCTTTATTCTTAAATAAGGGGATAAGAGTAATCTTCCTCCAACTCGTTGGGATCTTGTTGTTTCTCTAAATCATGTTGAAGAAACTTGTTAACCACTCGACGTCTCTCTCTCCCAAACTTCTCTAAGCCTCTATCGGTATGTCATCTGGACCCACTGCTTTCTTTCGCCCCATCTTCCTCAAAGCTTCTTTAACTTCCGTTGTTTAGATCCTTCTCACAAAATCACGATTTACCATACAATCTAGTATGGTCAAATCACCAATGGGAAAAAATATTTTTTTACATCAAAATGTTTGATTTTTTAAATAATAATTATTGATAAAAAAGAAATTGTCACATAATTGATGTGTGATAAATGATACCCCCTTAGTCCCGCTAATATTGTCCCATTTTACTTTTTTCGAGAATTCTCACTAAAATTGTTCCATACTACATTTGTTAAAGTTTGTGTGACTCTAAATCATTCTTACTTTATTCTTACTTTATCAATTAATTTCAACCACATAAACTCATTTTTCTTAATAATCGTGCTACCTCCTTCCGTCCCAATATTAGTGGGACAGATGTAGTAATAAAAACAAGGATTTATGCATTTATTTAAAAAAAATTGTGATGGATGAATATATTGACAGTGTTGGGTTGCAGGAAAAAATGATTGATTGACTGAATACATATAAAGTGATGACAAATTTGACTTATTGACGGAGCTAGATTGCGGTTAACCTTAATGCAATACATAGGTATTATGTAATCGAAATATTATATAATTGATCAAGAACTTCAGATTACTTTATTTTAATTATAAGCAATATTTTTTTATATTATTTGTAAAATCCGTTAAAACAGAAATACTCCCTCCGTCCCAATTTGATTTGCAAAATTTCCTATATTGGTTGTCCCAAAAATGGTTTTCCAATTTCTATTTTAGATATGTAAATAAGAATAAAGTGATAAATTTATCCTTACTTTTACTTTATTTTCATTAATTTAAGAGCACATACTTTTAGGAAGATGGACAAAAGTGTAAAAAGAAAATATCATTTAATGTCATTCTTTAATACTTGTGTCAATCAAAGTTTGCAATTCAATTCAGGATGATCATATTTTAAATACTTTGGTCCAATAATGCAACACTTGTGAGTAGAAATTTACAATGTACGGCGGCCTGATTTAAGATGGTGATAATAATTGGGTTGAAAGTGAGTGAGGGAATTATTGGTGGGGTAAAGGAGGTAGTGGGCGAACATTATTTGTGTACTTACTGTTTCGTCACTAACACCGAAAAGGGGAAAGGTGGATATAAAAGTAGTTAGTCGTGCTGCCGCCCTATTTTACCCCATTATTCAATGTTGTGACCCACCACACTAATCATAAAACAAACACAAGACACAAATGCCAAAATACAAAAGGACATGAAGAAATGTGCTTTTCAGAGGAGTAATGTATCCTCCAACAAGGCATAGCCGAGTTACTATAAAGCTTTTTATTTTGGATAATTTTTTGCACAAATTATTATACTAATAATTGAAGTTTTTTTTTTAAAATATTTGGGGTGAGGTAAGGCATATCACCTTGGGTGTGTTTCGGAAAACAAAGAAATAATTAATAAAAATTATTTAATCAAAATGACTAAAGAAAATAGAAAATAGATGAAGCAGAATTTAGTCAGAGTTTGTGCTGCGCACGATGTCCTTAAAACACTCATCTTTTGAATGTGACGTTTCACTGTTGAAACAATCTACGCCTACAGTAATGCAGTCTTGAGTGATGTTCGATAAAATTTACCCTTTAGTATATTTCACATACCTTGATCACATAGAAATAATGACACACTCCTCCAATTCACTATCCTTTTGAGTTATATATGTATACCAAGTAACGGAAAATATTACAGACTGGTATCTCCTTGCCATAAAGGGTAATCCCAATGTTACCATTACTTCTACCTCCACTGAACTATCACTCAATTAATTAGTTTGCTTCGATCGAGTCTAAAGCCCTTGGTAGTTAACTCACTACTCGGTAGTAACTCGGTCAAGGGCCGAGTAGCGAGTAGGACCGATTACTTGGGATTACTCGGTGACTACTCGGTCTTGTAATTATTAAATTTAATAGCACATGTGTCTGAGATTATAGAAATATAATAGTCTTAAATTTGTCTTAAAATGCATAAAAATGAATAAAATGATAGAAATCCTAATGATGGAATAGCAAAAGTCATAAACATTCTAAGTCTTCTAGAAAACTCAATCATCTAATAATTTGCTAGGATCTGCTCTCTCCCCATGTCCATCATAAATCATCTTACTTTCTCTTAAGTGTTGGATTAGCATATTTTGTTAACTGCGTTTTTCTATGTATAATTTGGCGCAGTTAACTTCAACGAATTATTTGACTGCCTTCCCGATCGAATTTTGAGATGAAGTTTGGTATGGATAAACTAGACTTGATGAGGAACATGCTAAAAAATTTTCATCAAAATATTCCGCCGGGAACCGCCCCAAATGCCGGTATTCGGACGGCGTTCGGACAGAAAAGTGTTGGACATAAAAGTTATGCCGATTGAGACTTATGATGTTAATATTAGAGATGAGTTGAGGAGACGTTATTTGAGAAAAGGTCCTTTCCAACCGCGTGACTTAAAATTTCCACAAAGGGATTTTAATGGGTGCAACAGATCATTCCAAAACAGTGGTTTTATTTAAATTTTATAGTTTTGTTTATTGCTAGACTCGTGATGCATATGATTTTTTTCTAGATTAGTATATCATTTCTTTATTATTGTTTTATTATTGTGCCCCTGCGAGTCACGAGTCCTGGTTCCGCCTATATATATATATATATATATATCCAATTCATTGATCGATTGATTGATCGAGCGAAGGATAGGATGTTCGTGGAGAGGTTTAAGGTGGAGAGCCCCAACGTTGCATACGGAGATGGGGAGATACACTCTGTTTACAACTATGAGACAACGGAGGTGGTGATGGAGCGGGACGAGTGGGTGGTCAAACCCAAGACCGTCAGATATGAGTTCAAGACCGACACCCGAGTCCCCAAGCTGGGGGTCATGCTGGTGGGCTGGGGCGGCAACAACGGCTCCACGCTCACCGGCGGCGTCATCGCCAACCGCGAGGGCATTTCCTGGGCCACCAAGGATAAGGTCCAGCGAGCTAACTTCTTTGGTTCTCTCACTCAAGCTTCCACAGTCAGGCTCGGCTCCTTCCATGGCGAGGAGATCTTTGCCCCTTTCAACTCTCTTCTTCCCATGGTACGTGTGTGTATGTATATATATATATATATATATATATATATATATATATATATATATATATATATATATATATATATATATATATATATATATATATATATATATATATATATATATATATATATATATATATATATATATATATATATATATATATATATATATATATATATATTCTTACTTTACATTACATTACATATATGCTCCCAAAATATGCATGCTACGTAGCTGAGAAATGTCATTTTAGCTAGACTCGATGAGGGTCCGTTACAGTTTCCAACTCCCCACCATTGTTAGAGAAAAAGGTTTTTTTTTTTGAATGAATTCATTTTCAACCAACTTAATTAGTGGCTACAAAATTAGGGCATAGGATGATCCAAGTGCATCGGATTAAGCTAGTTTCATAGGACAAAACCATGCGTGCTTAGTAAAATCAAATGTCCAATACATATCACATACTCCATAGTATGCAATATATATATATATATATATAAATGGGAAAAGTATCAATTAAGCCCCCGTACTATACCGAAAAAGTCGGTTAGACCCTCGTACTTTACAAACACTCAATTAAGTCATCGAACTATTAAAAAACGTTCAATTAAGTCCTTTTGGTGGGTAAGTAACCGATTTTCCGGTTAAACGACGACGATAGCGACGATGTGCTCGAACCCTAGCAACGGCGGCTTCCGGGAAACATGTTACATTTAACCGGGAAACCGGTTACTTACCGACCGAAAGTGCTTAATTGAACGTTTTTTAATAGTTCGAGGACTTAATTGAGTGTTTGTAAAGTACGAGGGTCTAATCGACTTTTTTGGTATAGTACGAGGGCTTATTTGATAGTTTTCCCTATATAAATCCATTATTGACATCAAAAGAGACAACCGGAGACGTGCAAACATCAAGATAACTATTTTTAAAGGATGGGATGTTCGTATTGAGGATATATTGAATTTGATGAATCGGTCCAATCACATAAAGGGTGAATTGTGTGTGTATACAACTACGTCAATTTTCTTGGGGCAAAAGAAAAAACAAAAATTAAAGGACACATGAATTAAAAATCTTCGACCTTCCTCGAAAGAATTTGAAAAACTCTTCACTAAAAGCCTTTAAACAAGATACAAGATAAATTAAATTCTCCTAGTTCACCCTTGAGTCACCCCAACTTTAGCCTCTCTACGTAGAGTTCTCACCACCTTAATTATCTTGTGGGTAAGGAGTCTCTCAAATTTACAACTTCTTTGGTCCATACAAATTCATGTGTATCATTTCAATTGGTTTACTTGTGCGCACCGAATTTTTTGTTTTAAAAGAACTTCGTGCTTGTTTTCCGGTGGTACAAGGGGGGCAAATATGATCAAGTGAATGCTTCATGTTAGGCAACCCAATTACCAAATCGTGAGATTTCAGTTTGTTTAACAAAAAAACTAGCACATTCAAGTCTTTTGTGTCATAGTAGGGGATCATTGTCAATAACACTCAGACAAGTCAAACTCACATTTGGTAATTAATAAAGATCCACTTTTTAGATGTTGCCAAACCTTTTACCTTCAAGTATAACTTGTTGAGTATTATTATTGACAATCTGACAAATATCATTATTAAAAATAACATTGTTAACTCTGTCACAAAATTGAGAGATGTTTAACAAATTAAATTTTAAACCCTTGACAAGAAAGACATTGTCAATTGAATGGTTAGGTGATTTTCCAATTTTTCCCATGGCTACAATTTCTCCTTTGTCGTTGTCTCCAAACGTCACCTTCCTAACACTAAATGACCGAAGTGAGAGGAATAAAGATGAGTCTTCAGTCACGTGCTTAGAACAACCATTGTCAAGGAATCAGTGATTGTTCTCCCTCACTTGGCATTGTTCCAAAATCACGGGCTAGCCCGTGGAATCCAGACCTGTTTGGGTTCCATTTTGTACGGGTTTGAAGAATTATGCCAAACATAATTACCATTCTTTTCAAAAGCCTTGAGTCAAGAGATATATTGATGTCTAAGATGACCGATTTTGTCACAATGCATGCAAACTCGGCTATCATAAGCATCAATGTATTTTGTTTTCCTTGTTTTATCAAAGGCGGTTCTTCTTTTAGAAAATGTTTGGTTCGGCTTTTGTGCCTTTGGTCTACTTTGTCGTACATGAAAAGTCAAGTTCTAGGATGAGTTCTGTATGTACTAGAACTAGTTTATCCTCTGTTTCTATTCCCTTCACATGTTTGCTTGTGAAAAACGGGATTTCCGTTAAAATGTGCTGGGTTAGGATTGTATTCGAGACCAACTCTCTGATTCTTTGATCCTTTATTGTTCGAGAGGGTCCAATTCTAGAATCAGTTCTAGCCCTGGTTTTATTCTTGGTACTGTAATACTGAAACTCATTGTCCAGATTTTTTTTAAATACCGTCTCTCAGACCCAATACAATCAATTTTGGAAATTAACAAATCAAGATTCAGAATTTTGAAAGAAGCTTTTCTCCACGTTCGAGTTTATTATTCATTTATTGAGCTTTAATGAACAACTAATAGTATCTTGTTCCAAAACCACTTCACTGTATTTAAGCCTCTCATCAATTAACTCTCCCACTTTAGTCTCAAGCCTTAATTAGCTTGGCTCGTGTGGTTTCCTCGAATTTAGATTCAAGTTCATGATCTGTGATTTAAGATGATCATTTTTAGAAAGATTTTGATCAAGTTCGATAGTCAACCTTTTGAAAAATTTTGGAACCTTATTTTTGGGTAAAAATTAAATTCAGAAAGAAAATTGCCTAAACTCACCATAAAGTTATCTTGATCGGATTTCGCATCGGAGTGAGCAACGAGACATATCCCAACTTGATTTAGACTCTTATCGCTTTCGTCACCTTCCTTCTCTCATCCCTCCATGACTAACATTCTTTGGTGAAAGAATTTTTGACTTTAAATTAAACAACTCATTTAATTAAAATTGGGACGAAAGAATGCTGGCTGTGAAACAATTAAATTTAAGTTGTTCAAATTGCCAGCATACATTGTTTGATAAAAAGAATTTTTGATTAACATTAAATGTTTGATGACATTAAATTAAATAATTCATTTATTTCTTACTTTCTAAAAACAATGTATTGCCTATATAATAAACTATAAATTATTTTAGCATTCATACAAATATAGTATGCACCATCTACATGAATTAGCAATATAATATTATTCTTAAAATAAATAATCTCATACATACTATTGTAATATTAAGAAAACTCTTTGTGACTCACGAAAGAATAAAATTGCAATTCAAAAACCAAATCTTTATTCCTATAAAATTCATGTAGTTAAATTGGTTGAAGTTATTTAAAAAGTATTGATGAATGCATATCTTTTAAACTCTTTATCTTCAAATAATTTCATAAAGTGTTATACTACCTTCGTCCTAAATTGATTTGCAAATTTGACTTTTCTTGGTCAAGCAGTTTCATTTTATTTGCTTAATTAGGATGTCAATTTTTAATTATATTATAATTTGGAGTTTACAACTTTGAAGATATTTTAATGTAGTTTCTGAATATATAAATTTTAATTATTAAAAATTGAATTAATTATCGATAGGGAGCATTGACTTTTTTTATTGGTTGACCAAAAAATGTTGACTTTGCAAAACAATTTAGGACGGATGGAGTATATCTTTTTTTATTTTGAAATAATTTTTCTTTGATTTGTCATTTCGTAATTAAGCTTTAATGTAACAATACTTTTTTTTCTAGAGCACTTCAATTATAAAATCAAAGTTATTTTTTCATTGTATAAACTTAGAATGTAATAGATTTAAATGTTTTGTGTATACATTAATAATTTTTTTTGAATACAAAATTGCGGCAGAGCCGTACACTAGTTAGTGAAAAAATCCGCCCAACCGCACTAACGAAAAACATTTCGCCCCTTAGACTATCGAAAATATTTTGGCCCCCGGCCTTAACTTGAAATATATATATCTTGAATTAGGGGTGGGCACAAAAGCCCGTAACCGTTTAAACATACCGAAAAACCGGAAAACCGTTATTTTTTTCGGTTAACCGTACCGATTTTAAATAAATCATGGTACGGTTAACCAACCGCAAAAAAAAACGGTACACGGTACGGTTATGGTTTTGAAAATAAGATAAGGCCGGTTAACCGCTAACCGGTAATTCAAATAATACATGCTTCGTATGTAACCGGTAAGCTAATTTAAGGTCGTTGGTCGTATATTTCAAAAAACACTACCTGGAATCCTAGATACATATGAAACAACTCGCCTACTTTTTATTCTGTAATAATTAATAAGATTAGAACTTCATCAATTCTCAAATAACTTTGATACCGGAGTATTAAATACAAAGTTCAATATTAATCTTATTAATCTAGCTTAAGTCGTACACAAATATAACGGAGTTTATATTTGCTGGAGTTTGTAATATATGCGACTCTGTCAACTTATTGAATTATATTTATAGTAGAATAGACATTGACTTGACTATGAATAAACTATAAAGTTTAGATAAATGTGATTGATACCTAAATATGGATAAAGTTTTAGAGAAATGGCGGTATTTTAGATTTTAGATACGTCATTATTATAATTTGTAGTATTATAATTATAGTTTGTTGGAGTTTGTATTATAGCATCTTGTTAAGTTTGCAGTATTATAATTATATATGTGGTGTATTATTTTAATTCCTGCATTTTTTGGGAAGCTTCTATTCATATTTGATTTTACCGTTAATATTTTGTGGTTTTATGGTTTTTGGTTAACCGCAAAGCGGTTAACCGAAGTTATGGTTAACCGATACTCGGTTAACCGAAGTGATGGTTAACCGATACTCGGTTAAAAAATAGTAACCGGTTTCTCGGTTAACCGAAAGTTGGTTAACCAAAACCCGGTTAACCGACCATGCCCACCCCTATCTTGAATGTGTCCATGGTTCGAATATTAGTATGAGGGAGATAGAAAATGAGTGTACGTACGTAGTAATTGTTATGGAAGTGCGCGCAGGTGAAGGCATCGGAGATAGTGTTTGGAGGGTGGGACATAAGCAAGATGAATCTAGGAGATGCGATGGCGAGGGCGAAGGTGTTTGAAATAGATCTGCAGAAGCAGCTGCGGCCGTACATGGAGTCCATGGTCCCTCTCCCGGGCATCTTTGACCCTGATTTCATTGCGGCCAACCAAGCCTCCCGTGCTGACCATCTCATCCCAGGAACCAAGCAACAACAACTCTACCAAATCATCAAAGACATCAAGTAAGCATCCCACCTTTTATTTATTTCAAACTACGTACGTACGTACATACCTGCCTTATAATTTGATTATTGTATATAACACTATCGGATCTTGTGTGTAGACATGTTATGTGTCGTATGAAAGTGACCGATTGCCCGGTTAAATGTAACCCGTTTCCTGGCAGACGCCGTTGCGGGGGTTCAAGCCCTTTCGGTTACTTACCGACCGAAAGGGCTTAATTGAATCTTTTTTAATAGTTTGAGGACTTAATTGAGTGTTTATAAATTACGAGGACCTAATCGACTTTTTCGGCATAGTACAAGGGCTTATTTGATAGTTATCCCTTGATGTTTATAAAGAAAACAAAAAGGATTAACGAAACTATTTTATTTTTCAACTTAAACGTTATGAATGTTAAGCGTTTTTGCCATTTTCGGTCCCCCGACTATTGTGTCAGTGTCATTTGTGGTATTTGACTTTCAATTTTTTTAGTTTTAGTCCTCAACTATTGTGTGAGAAACACTTTTGGTCCTTGACTTCAAATTTCTCACATGTAGTCCTTCGAGTATTATCAAATTAACACTATTTACATTCCATTGTGATTTAACAATAAGTGGAGGAATAAAAGTGACAAAAAAGTCAAATTGTTAAATAAGTGCTATGTATTAGGATGTTTTTACTTCGACTGTAATTTGCTGGTCTGGTCTGGTCTGGTCTGTTTTGGCCTGGTCTGGTCTGTTTTGGTCTGGTCTGTTTTGGCATGGTCTGGTCTGTTTTGGTCCGGTGGGGTCTGGTCTGTCTGGTCTGGTCTGAAATTTTATTTTTTATATTTTTTGCATAAAGATTTTATTTTATATATATATATATATATATATATTATAATCCATAAATAATTATATTTTATTCATTTATAATTACAAATAATAATAATAATTGTTATAATTATAATAACAACAACAACAACAATAATAATAATACTAATAATAATAATAATAATAATAATAATAATAATAATAATAATTAGGGGTGTGCACTATCCTGTTTAAACTAGAAAACCGGACTGAATCGGACCGGAAAAACCGGAACCGGATCGAACCGGAATGATATCCGGTCTGGTTCGGTACAGTCCGGTCCGGATTTGAACCGGTGCACACCCCGAATAATAATAATAATAATAATAATAATAATAATAATAATAATAATAATAATAATAATAATAATAAAATATGGTCTGGTCTGGTATGTTTTAGTCTGGTTTGGTCTGGTCTGGTCTGTTTTGGTCTGGTCTGCTCTGGTCTGGTCTGGTGTGGTCTGGAACGAATTACAGTCCAAGTAAAAACAACCTTACTCCGTATCTATTATTATATTACTATAAAATGAATTTTGAAAAGTAAAAGTTAAATAGAGCAAACATGCGTAATAGTAATAACTGTGTACTACGTACTCCCTCCGTCCCTAAATAAAAGCATATGTTTCCTTTTCGGCCGTCTCTAAATAAAAGTTTCATTTACTTTTTTGGCAAACAAAACAGTGCAAAACAGTGCCAAACAGTGCCAAACAGTGTCAAACAGTACCAACCAAACCCACTTTCTTAAGATGTGTGTAAAATGAATGGATACTTTTATATAGGGAGCACATGCTTTGAATTTGCATTGTATTGTGTAATAATTAAAATAACAAAGACGTAGTTACTTTTCTAGCTAAATATAGACATTTTAGTTATTTTGGTGTATCTTTGTTTATTTTTATTAATAAAATTTATCAAAATATCCATAATTCAGTAGATTCAGTCAATTCAATAATTTCAATCAAAACTTCATCAATTTCAGCAGATTTAATCGATTCATCACACTTATTTTAAATTACTCCCTCTGCTCCTGAAATATCTTTCAAATTTCCTTTTCGTCTTTCCTCACGAAGTGCCTGATCGTGAGGATGAGTATTAAAAGTCCCACACATGAAAACTTTGAATCAACAAAGTGCTATATTAACACATGGACTACTCTTCCTATTAGGTTGATCTTTTAGGATGAAAACTCAGGTTTTAACGGTTACCATTGATATTTTTAATAATGCAAACTTTGTTCAAATTATATTGAATGGCTGGCTGTACTATACACATCATAAAGTTCGGCAAATTTATAATTCTTAACAACTTTATATCTCTTGCAAACAACAATTTCGTATTTAATAATCTTATTTCCTATAAAAAAATTCTTTTTATCTAAAATTTACTCCTGAATTCTGAATAGTAAATCAAATGGAATGGCATATCTAAAACGTCGACATAAATATGCTTTTCTACTTCTAGACTTTATATGTTAGAAAACTTTATTATCATTCAATTGAAAAGTTAAACATAATAGATATTTAAAAGACAAATGTACGGAGTAGTATGTAAATGAGTATAATGTTTAAAAAAGTGCGTTTACATGATATATATATAAAGTGAGCATAACACCTAATGCATTAAATGAATTTACAAAAAAAAATATAAAGGACAGAACGGGTGAAATTAAGGATACTTTCAATTAGATTTGGTCCAAAAGGTGGAATCTCCCACCCCAGGAGCCCCCCATACCCCGACCCGACAGGATTTTTGGGAGGATGTTAATCACGGTGACTCAGTCGGCCCAATGATGGTAGGCCTTTTTCCCGTGCGCACCAGAGGCCCAGCCTTATTTCAGGTTCTGTGACCTCCACACGGTCGCTGCGGGTTTCGAACCTTGGTCATTTGGTCCAAATTTCTCACCACTGAACCAACTGAGCTACCCGTGCGAGTACTTTCAATTAGATTGTTTTTACTTTTTAGTCCCATATCGGTACAACTGAATGATATGAGTATTAGATTTAAATACATCAAATCAAGACAAACACAAATAGATCAAATCACATCAGACTACTTTTAAAAATAGTTAAGTAGAATATATTGGGAAAACTGTCAATCTGGTCCTCGTATTTTCATGAAAAAGTCAATCAGGTCATCGTACTTTTAAAAAGATCAATCAAATCCCCAAACTTTGTAAAAATGTTCAATTGAGTTCATTTGCAAGTTATTTGCCATGACACCAGGTCATTCGGTGACGTGGCACACAAGTGAATAGTAGTTATACTGTATGACCGTTCATACGGTGTAATTTGCGACAAGTGAAAGTCCAGCCAGCCATTTGATGATGACGTGGCACACATGTGGACCGCCATGTGTGTGCCACGTCAGCGGGTGACCTGCTGACATGGCAAGTAACCTGCAATTGTACTTAATTGAACATTTTTACAAAGTTCGTGAATTTATAGATTTTTTTAAAGTACGAGGACCTAATTTATTTTTCTTGAAAGTACGAGAACCAAATTGATATTTTTCCCGAATGTATTAGATAAGACTAAAAGAGACCAAAATTTTAATCAAACTACAAACTTCCCGCGGTTGTGCTGTATGCATCTTTGATGTTTATTATGAGGGGAAATGGTACAAATATACCTCTGTAGTACGAGTGTGGTAACAAATATATTCATTTTCTATTTTTCGGAATAAATATACCCCTGAAATTTATGTAGAGGTGCATATATACCCTTGAACTTTCAAAGACATGGGCTTGGGCAAAGACAAAAGGGAGCATGTGGGCTAAGTCAGGCGGACAGCCCAAACGGGCCAGGAGGCCATAAATAGCAGACAGGCCATTAAATGAGATGGACCAAGGGCCAGTGAGGTGGACCAATAAGATGCAAAGATACCTCTCATGTTCCTATAGAGGAGCAAATTTATCCTTATTGACTTTAATAAATAAAATTTATTGACCCATTTATGACCTGTTATTCCAAGTTATTTTCTTATCTTTGCAAAATATTATGTGATCATAAGGTGAGAATTATGGTATAATGTTTTACAAAGATAAGAAAATAACTTGAAATAACATGTCATAAATCGGTCAAGGACTCGTGAATGAAGATTGATTGCAAAGGTTGGATTATTCACGAATAATGAACACGTGAGACTATTGTAAGAAGACCAGTGAATAATTTTATTTTTAAAATTAAAACTTTAAAAATAAATTATAAATTCGAAATAGAAAAATAAAATATTAAAGAGTTCAAAATAAAGATTTATTTTTATGTTAAATTTTTAACCCTTTAATTTTATATTGAAAAATTATTATTTTTCCGTTGTAAATGAAGCACTTGAAATTCATAAATATTAATTTTAGTCTTGTTGTGAAATTTTTAAATCATTGTTACATTTTTCGAAATAAAATTATTTGGTTTTGTTTAACTTTAATAAAATTAAATTCACTATTTTGTAATATTGTACTATTTATCATCATACAAAATATATAATTTTACATTGCAACACATATGTTAACACCTTTTCGAAAGAATCTTAAATATATAGTAAAGTTTTGAAATATTATTTTATACTGACAATATTAAATTGTGACATCAAAATAATAAAATGGAGAATTGGACAAAAGTAGATTTTTATTTTTATTTTATGATTCAATTTCAAATTTATAATTTATTTTTGGTGTTTTTTGAAATTCATTTTATCTATTTAAATTCAATAAGAGTAAATTTGTTCCTTTATAGGAACATGAGGGTTATTTTTGCATCCTTTAAAAGTTCAGCAGGAAAATCACATTTTTAATCCCTGAAATAGTCACCATATTGACATGTCAAACCCGTGTTCCCCAGTTTATAAATACCACCCTTCAATTGTCCAAATTACTATAAATGTGGTTATTTGAAGGGTGAAATGTACAATGTGGACGAGAAGTAAATTTGACCCTTAAAGAATCACATTTACAACATTTGGACAATTGAGAGACGTCATTTGAAATTTAAGAAATTTGGGTCTCACATTTCAATATGGCGATAATTTCAAGAACTAAAAATGCGATTTTCCAAGTTCAACGGTATATATGGATATCCACCTAAATTTCGGGGTTATATTTGTTTTAAAAAAATAGAATAAAGATAAATTTGTTCCGAGACCCATATTAGAAAAATATGTACCCTTACCCTTATTATGAGAGGATGATACATGGGCGGAAAGTGAAATTCAGGGGTAAGTCATGTATGGGGAACGGTTTTGGTCAAAATTTTGATATAAATGATATACTCCGTTAAATGTCAAAATTTGGTGCTTGTTACCAATAAGAAAAGAGTATTTGATTTGATTTGATGCGGTGGTAGGGAGTTTAAGGAGAAGAAGAAGGTGGAGAAGGTGGTGGTGCTATGGACTGCGAACACAGAGCGATACAGCAATGTGATATCTGGGCTGAACGATACAATGGAAAACCTGTTGGCTGCCTTGGAAAGAAATGAAGCAGAAATTTCGCCGTCTACCCTTTACGCCATAGCCTGTGTCATGGAGAATGTGCCTTTCATCAATGGAAGCCCACAAAACACTTTTGTCCCCGGTATTTTTCTTCACCTTTTCTTTTCTCCCCGGTATTACTCATTATAGCCCCCCACTTTGTGGCCGCCCTCGACTAGGCGCGGGACTTTGAGAATTCAGATGCTTTTAATTTAAATACACATAAAACAAATGTCTATCATATCAATTCAGAATACACAAACCAGATTTAAATAGATACACAAGATCAGCCTAGGTCAAAAAATCACAGTTGATTAAAAACATCCTTAATTGTGCTAATACTTACATACATACACACACACATTAAGGAAATAAATTTGACTTTACCGTAGAGTACACTGTTTTGCACCGTTTGGTGTAGATTTGTTTGTCAAACAAGGCAAATAAGGAAGTGTAAAGTTTAATATGGGACAACCCAAAAAGGAAAGTGTAAAGTTAATTAAGAACCGGAGGGAGTATATACATACAGGGGAAGGTTCAAATACAAATAGGTCTTCCCATGCAAAGTGAGAATATATCTTGTGCATTGATTTCCACATCTAATGGCTCAAAATGAGCCAAAAATGCACTATATGTGATAGAAAACGTGGTGACAATTTCGTAAATAAACCGAAGTTTTTTTAACATCGTGAAAAAGTGCAACATAAACATGCAATAGTGCAACACGGTGAGGAAAAGGTGCAACTGTTCACACTTTGCAAGGGATCACTTCTTTTTATTTGAACTCTTCCCTGTACACGTGCGCGCGCGCGCACACACATATATATAGAGAGAGAGAGAAAGAGAGAAATCTTTAGGTCCGGAATTCTGGACCAGAACTGCCGTACGGATGGTGTCATTTGGGCCACTTCCTGGTGGAGCTTTTTGATGAAATTTTTTGGGCATGTTCTTTATTATGTTTAGGGTATGTTTGGCACAACTAGCTGAAAAGATACTTTTATGAGCTTTTTAGTAACCGTTAGCTTTTAGTGACAGAAAAGATCTTACAAAGAAAAGGCAATGCCTGTTTGGTAAAAAGCTGACCGTTTGATTTAGCTCTGTTTGGTATACAAGCTGTAAAGAGTAATTAATACTAGAAGCTACTAACTTATCTGAGATGTTACTCACTGTAGCATCTCAAAACTTTTATTTTTATAAAAGCTCTTAAAAATTGGCATGACAAACATACAACTAGAAGCTTTTAAAGACTTTTTAAATATTACAAAAGCTAGAAGGTAGAGACTTATGAATGCTAAACATAGCCTTAGTTTATTCGCAAAAAAGTTGAGCTAAACATTTAACCGGGAAGGCATCCAAATAAGTTTTGGAAGATAACTGCGTTTTATATGTATATTTTGGCGCAATTATCTTTCAAAAACTATTTGTTTGCTTTCTCGATTGAATTTTTAGCTGCAATTTTATGTTGATGAACTAGACTTGATGAAAAACATGTCCAAAAAATTTCATCAAAAAAATTCACCGGGAAATGGCTCGAACGACGCTGTCCGGATGGCGCCATGGCGGTTCCGGTCAAGAAGGTCTTACCGAAAGATTACTCTCTCTATATATATATGGAATAAAAAATATATACAGAGAGAATTTGATTCAAATGAGAACATGATCTGAGAAGAGAAATAAAAATGATTATGGAGCGTTGGATTTAGGTGAATTGTGCATTATGTGAAACAGAAATGTGCAGTACCATAAATCAGAAAATATGCATTTGAATTGTGCATTATTTTAACCATAAATGTGCACATTCGAACTATACATTATTTCAACCATAAAAATGCATCTCCGCGAACCATAATATGTCATTTTGGATCGTTCCCATTTTTCACGATGAAATGTGTTTTTACCAAAACTGCACCCTATGACTATAGTTTTAGTAGTGACACTAGTCACACTTAGATCAATCGTCTTTGATTTATTCCAGTCGTAGTCCTTTGAATATTGTAAGAGACACTATTAGTGTCGACTTTAAAATTTCTCACATTTAGTCTCCTAGTATTGTGAAGTTGACACTTTTAATCTTTCCATTGCAGTTTTTTCATAATAAGTGGAAATAAGCGAATGACTAAGAGGTCGTTTGGCAACCCTCATTTTCGGCTTATCAGGCTTATCAGCCAACTTTTTTACCAAACACGTAAATTTTGCTTTCGCGCGCTGAATTGTGTAATAAGCCGAAAAAGTAAGGTTGAAGTTACTTTTCTAGCTGTATTGGCTGAAGTCACTGTAGATGACCATTTTAGCTATTTTTACATATATTTTTTTCATTATTATATTAATAAAATATATTTTAAAAATATTTTTTTCTTGTATCAGCAGAATCAGCCAATGCAGCTACTTCAGCCAGAACTTCATAAATTTCAGCAGAATCAGCCAGAACAGCCGATTTTCGTGCTGCCAAACGGGCTCTAAAAGTTTTACTTTTATGAAAGTCGGAAGACTAAATACGGAAAATTTTAAAACGGTTATCAAAACTGTTTCTCGACAACAGTTAAAGGATTAAAAAAAAATCGAGTATCAAAAGTGGTAATGAAATTATAGTCGGAGGACTAAACGGTAAAAACTCTTTACAAGAAGGGTATTTTGTGCGGATCATTTTAGGACTAGAAAAAGTGTAATTTGTACTCGATTAATTAGCCCGGAAGGGATGAAAATAGGCGAGTTTGAGAATGAATCTAAATTGAATCAGGGAAGACCACAAATGAAAGGTGAAGGCAGACAGAGTAAAGAGAATGTAGTCGAGGGAGGGGTTGGGGGATGGGGTATCAAACTCTGTCATGCATATACAAAGACTCACTATGTTTGGAAGTCCTAAATCTATCTTTGAATTTCCAGGGCTTATTGATTTTGCTATCAGGAGGAACAGTTTGATTGGTGGAGATGACTTCAAGAGTGGGCAGACCAAAATGAAATCTGTTCTGGTAGATTTCCTTGTTGGGGCTGGTATCAAGGTATATATAGGGATAAGATTATACTGGTTTGTTTTTAATTCTTCCAGTCCTGCCCTGTTAAGAGTACACATCTTGGATTTTGTTTGTAATTTTCGTGTCATGTTTTTATCCTTAAAAAACTTGGGGAAAGGGAAGTTAAATTTGATTAATTTGGTTTCCTTGTATTTAGTTGGTTTTCTCATTGTTTGTATAATACATACAAATAAATACTCCATATTAAATTACTCGAGTTTTAATACATCTTGGACGAGTGATCTCTTTTCTCTCTTTCCTCTCTCTTTTTGTTTTTCTTTTTCTTTGATCTCTTTTATCTTTTTATCTTTTATCTTTTTATGTTCTTATTTTATTTTTATGTTATACTTGTCTTTATTTTATCCATTCTATCTTACTTTATCTTTTTATTTTTCTTATCTTTTTTCTTTGTTTGGTTCTGATATGATGGATCGATTCAGGTTAGCCGGTTCCGAAGTCTTTTGGGAATAAGACTTGGATGTTGTTGTTGTATTAAATTACTCGAGTTTGAGGAAGCAGCAGCATATATTTCATTTGTTTATCTTTCCAGCTGATTTGACTCCCTCTTTTCATCTCTAATGACTTCGGGTTGTAATGTGGTATGTTGAAATGGAGCCGTAATGGGTTTGGGTTTGGGTTTGAAACAGCCAACATCAATAGTGAGCTACAACCATCTCGGTAACAATGATGGGATGAATCTGTCTGCTCCACAAACATTCCGCTCCAAGGAGATATCGAAGAGCAATGTTGTTGATGACATGGTTTCTAGTAACGGCATCCTCTACGAACCTGGTGAACATCCCGACCATGTAGTAGTCATCAAGGTAAAATAAATACTGACTAATAAAGCAACTAGAAGAGAGTATGTATGTATGTATGTATGTATGTATGTATTACGGGAAAATGATGGAGTGAGTGGTTCATTTATTTGTTCATTGATACTAATAAATTGAATGTTTTGTTGTTGATGAATAGTACGTGCCCTACGTCGGAGACAGCAAGAGGGCGATGGATGAGTACACCTCAGAGATTTTCATGGGCGGTAAGAACACCATTGTTCTTCACAACGTTTGTGAGGATTCACTTCTTGCCGCTCCCATCATCTTGGACTTGGTCCTCCTCGCTGAACTTTGCTCCCGAATCCAGCTCAAATCCCAATATGAGGTATCTATCTGTCTATCTATCTCTCTGTCTCTCTGTCTCTCTATCTATCTAGTTTTTTGGCGTTTCGTATACCAAATGGGCCCTTATGCTAAATATTGTATTGCTTTCCCGTGTAAGTGTGTAACGTCATATATTTGCAGGCCAAGTTCCACTCCTTCCACCCCGTGGCTACCATTCTCAGCTACCTTACTAAGGCTCCTTTGGTAAGTCTTCGCCACACCAACTCAGTCTCTTACCTCATGCATGGAATATCTCTTTGTTTATAGATTTCCTACTGTTTTTCCCCCACTTAGATCCGTTTGGTAACATCAATTTGATTTCGCCAATACCTCTTCTTAATTATTCTGCTCATTTGAACTTCCAATTATTATTTGCCGCCCCTACACTACTACTCTTAGAATTGAAGGATTGCTTTGAATGATGTATGTATTGTTTGGTTTATGTGTGGCGGGAAAATGAAATGAAAACAGGTGCCACCTGGCACACCGGTGGTGAATGCGCTGTCGAAGCAGCGGGCGATGCTAGAAAACATTCTTCGGGCTTGCATTGGGTTGGCACCAGAGAACAACATGATCTTGGAATACAAGTGATCTCACACACCATCATCTTGCAATCATCAATTTGGATCCCTCCCTTTGTCTCTTATGCTACTTTCATCTTGTGTGCAATATATCCTAAGAGCTAGTTAATCTTCTGGTGTAATTTATATCTATCGCCTGGTGTCGTTATATTACTCCCCAGGCTTTACACAAATCTTCTCTGCATTACTTCGTATGAATAATATTGGAAACATTAGTATTTAGTACGTGTAAATAAACGGGTACATTTCTTGTTTTATTAGTTGCACTAATTCTTTACACATGCAGGATTCTGTAAATTGGATTTTAACCCGGTGCACGGAACAGATTTTAGTCAAAAAAATGCCAAAGTATGAATATAAATTCAGTGAATTGTGAAAAAAAGAATAACAAGTCATATGTATTAGAAAAAATTGGGTATTTCAAATGAATTTTTTATTTGGCTTGATAACGTTGTCCCCCACACCGGATTTCTTAGAAAAAAAATCAAATTTTTAAGTGTACACTTCTTTCTAAGGAGTAAATCGAAAATGAGAAAGGGAACTTATCGTTGATAGAGACCCATCTAATCCGAACACTGGTGATCAATATTTTGGAAGAGTGTACTCGAGAAGGAGGAAATAAGCTGAGAGTCTTGGGTTCTTTTATTTTGTTGTTAATTGAATAATCACTTTCTGTTTTAAGAATACTATAAATAGAAGTAAGGCTGGGGGAATAGACAGGTTGTATGACATAAGTTGTCTTGACGGGAAAGTTAGAGATATTTTGTCTCTTTCTTTTGGGAGGCTCTGGCCTTGGTTGCTTGTTCATTTCAATACCATTGTTGCTTATTTTCTCTAAATTCTCTTATATTTTGTCTGTGATCTGGTTGGGTTTTATCAGTGGTATCAGAGCACGTAGATCCCTAGATGAGATTTACGCGCGCTACCATGGAAGGAAGATTAAATGATCTGGAGAGGAATCAGCGGGAGTTCGCGTCAACCAATACTGCTATGGCGACGGACATTGCGGAGATTCGGGCAGCGATTGCGCGTTTGACGGAGAACAGCCAAAACCGATCGCGAAGTCGATCGCACACTTCTTCGACATCGCATCGCACACCGCGCAGTCATCACTCACGCCATTCCAGGAGTTCGGATGGCTCAGAAGGTGATGATAACTACTCTGCAACGTACCGAAAACACCACCGTCACAGGGAACGGGATATCCCTCGCCGAACAGGAAGAAAAATTGATCTGCCGTTATTCAACGGAGAAGATGCTTACGGTTGGTTAATCAGAATAGATCGCTACTTCAGACTTAACAATATCGAAGAAGAGGAAAAAGTCAATGTAGCGGTAGTAGCCATGGAAGACAAAGCCCTGAGTTGGTTCCAAGGGTGGGAGAATCAGGCGCAGGAGAGGAACTGGGAAACTTTGAAAGCAGCTTTAACTCGTCGATTTCAACCAGAACTGGTTCAGAATCCCTTGGGCCCGTTATTAGGTCTCAAACAGAAAGGAACAGTGAAGGAGTACAGAGAGCAGTTCGAAATGGCGGTGGCTTCTCAAGGGGATTTAAGCAGGAAGGTAACAAAAGGAATTTTCCTGAATGGGTTGAGAAAAGATATTAGAGCTGAGCTGAAGCTCTATCAGGCGAGGGAATTGGCGGATATCATGGATACCGCCTTGTTAATCGAACATAAAAACTGTGAAGCGGTATCAAGGAGGAACAAGGATGAAGGAAAAAAAATAGGGAGGAATCAGTTAACTGGAGGACAGAGTTACCATAAATGGGGGGATGGCAGTAAAAGAAGTTACAGCATACACTCTACAAATACAGTTGAGAAGAATTCCACTGACAGTAAGAAGCAGGGGGAGGGTTCCAGCTCAGTATCTAAGAAGTTTGGCCCCAGACTAACTCAGAGTGAACTGCTGGAGAGGAGTAAAAAGGGGCTGTGTTTCAAGTGTGGAGATAAATGGAGTAGAGGCCACACCTGCAAGATGAAATTTTTTAAAATGATGTTGGTTGAACATTCTGAAGGTGAAGATGGGACTGACACTGCCTCTAGTGATGCTGAAGAAGGAGAAGGGGTTCATAAGGAACCCAAAACTATGCAGTTATCGGTACTCAGTAAAGAAGGAATACCTTCCATGAGAACCTTCAAGGTGAAAGGAAGTTTAAAATGGCCAGATCATGACAAACAGGTGACCATTTTGATTGACAGTGGTGCTACCCACAACTTCATATCCCAGCAACTTGTAGATCAATGGAAAATACCATTCCAATGTATCAAGGGGTATAAAGTACAAATAGGGAATGGAGATTTGATTTCTAATGGTGGCAGATGTGATGGGATGAGAGTGAATGTGCAAGGGAATGAAATTCAACAAAATTTTTATGTACTTGAGTTAGGAGGAACTGACATGGTGTTGGGGATGGAGTGGTTAACTGAATTGGGTGATATGAAAATTAATTTCCAAAATCAGACTATGAAATGGATGAAGCATGGGCTGAATCAGAATATTCAGGGGGATGCAAGTCTAAATAACATGGAAGTGTCTCTTAAGACAATGACTCACATTTTACAACAAACAGGAGATGGGTATTTGATGTATTCTGTGAGTCAAGGTGCTGGAGAGCAGAAACTGGCACCTGAAGGGAAGTGGAATGAAGTGATGGAAGAATATCAGGAGGTTTTCACAGCAAGCTTGGACATGCCACCAGTCAGACCTTGTGATCATACTATAAAGATCAAGGAAGGGGCTAGCATACCAAATCTCAGACCTTACAGGTATTCTTATGATCAAAAGAATGTGATTGAGACTATTATTCAAGAAATGCTAAACTCTGGAATTATAAGGAATAGTAACAGTCCTTACAGCAGCCCAGTGTTATTAGCTAAAAAAAGATGGGGGTTGGAGAATGTGTGGAGATTATAGAGCTTTGAACAAGATAACTATTCCAGACAAATTCCCTATACCAATTATTGAAGAACTCTTAGATGAATTAGGAGGATCTAAGGTGTTCTCTAAATTGGATTTAAAATCTGGTTATCATCAGATTAGAATGAAAGAGGAGGATGTCCATAAAACTGCTTTCAGAACCCACGAAGGGCATTATGAATATGTGGTTATGCCATTTGGGTTGACAAATGCACCTTCTACTTTTCAAGCCTTGATGAATGAAGTTTTGAGGCCTTTCTTAAGGAAGTTTGCTTTAGTGTTCTTTGATGATATTCTGGTTTATAGCAAATCAGAAGAAGAACATATAGAGCATTTAAGGAAGGTACTAAAAGCATTGAAGGATAACAACTTGGTAGCAAATCAGAAGAAGTGTTTTTTGGGGTCAGACTACATTGACATATCTGGGTCATATCATTTCTGAAGAGGAGGTATCTGCAGATCCTGAAAAAATAGAAGCTATGGTCAGTTGGGTGGAACCTGAGGATTTGAAAAGCTTGCGGGGTTTTCTGGGATTGACCGGATACTACAGGAGGTTCGTAAAAGGATACAGCAGAATTGCAGCTCCTCTAACACAATTACTGAAGAAAGACAATTTCCATTGGGGAAAGGAAGCTAGTTGGGCCTTTACAGAACTGAAAAAAGCAATGACATCATTACCAGTTTTAGCCAATCCAGATTTTAATAAAGATTTCATTATCGAAACGGATGCTTCTGGTAAAGGATTGGGGGCGGTGCTAATGCAAGATGGGAGACCCATAGCATTTATGAGTAAGGAGTTATCTGTGAAGCATCAAACCAAGTCCATTTATGAGAAGGAGCTAATGGCAATAGTTTTTGCTGTTCAGGAATGGCGACCTTACTTATTGGGAAGGAAGTTTGAAGTGCATACGGACCAAAGAAGTCTTAAATACTTAACTGAACAGACAGTCGTGGGAGCAGAGCAACAAAAATGGATAGCCAAATTGCTAGGCTATGATTTTGTTATTAAATACAAGCCAGGGTTGGAGAACAAAGCTGCAGATGCACTGTCTAGGAAGGTTCAACTTAATTCCATCTCTGTAGTCACTTGTCTGGAGTGGGAAGGATTGGAGGAGGAGCTGTTAGCTGATCAGAAATGTTATGAAACCATTCAGAAAATATTGAGTCAGCCGGATCAAATACCAGATTTCAGACTGAAGAAGGGACTGTTATATTTTAAAGGAAGACTAATGTTACCAAAGGGTTCTCCTAGGATAACCAAAATCCTTAAGGAGTATCATGATTCAGCTACAGGAGGTCATTCAGGACATTTCAGAACTATGAAAAGGATATCAACCTTATTCTATTGGGTAGGTATGAGGAAGGATATTCAAAATTATGTTCAGGCTTGTGAAATATGCCAAAGGAATAAGTATCAGGCACTGAAACCAGCTGGATTGTTGCAACCTTTACCCATACCAGAAAGAATATGGTCTGACATTAGCATGGATTTTATAGGCGGACTGCCGAAATCTAAAGGGAGGGATACAATCTTGGTGGTGGTCGACAGGCTAACTAAATTTGCTCACTTTGTAGCTCTTACCCACCCATATACAGCTAAAGGAGTAGCGGAGTTGTTTATTAAAGAGGTGGTGAAGCTTCATGGGTTTCCAAAATCAATTGTGAGCGATAGAGACAGTATCTTTTTGAGTAAATTCTGGTCAGAGTTGTTCAGATTGGCTGGCACCCAACTGAATTATAGCACAGCCTACCATCCACAATCTGACGGGCAAACGGAGGTGGTAAATCGATGTTTGGAGACGTATTTGAGATGCTTGACTGGGAAGAAACCTAAAGAGTGGGTACTATGGTTACCATGGGCAGAATACTGGTATAATACCAATTACCACATCTCATTAAAACAGACTCCTTATAAAACTCTTTATGGGCAAGATCCACCTATCATCATCAAAGGGGATGTATCTATCACCGCTATAGATGAAGTGGCAAGGATGACTGCTGAAAGAAACAGGATGCTAATGGAAATCAAAGAAAACTTAGCCATTGCTCAAAATAAGATGAAGCAGCAAGCCAACAAACACAGGAGGGAATTGAAGCTAGAAGTTGGGGAACAAGTTTTTCTGAAGATTCAACCCTACAAAATGCAGAGTTTGGCCAAAAGGTTGAATCAGAAACTGAGTCCTAGATTCTATGGACCTTTTGAGATTATTGAAAAGCTGAACGAGGTTGCCTACAAACTGAAGTTGCCAGAAAACTGTTTGATACATCCTGTTTTCCATATCTCCTTGCTCAAGAAAGTATTGTCGTCAAACACAAATTGTCAACCATTGCCCAACTACTTGAGTGAGAATTGGGAATTGCAGGTTGTACCAGAGAAGGTGGTGGACTCCAGAAGAAGAGAGGATGGAGTGACAGAGTTTCTCATACATTGGAAAGATCTGTCTGAGTTTGAGAGATCCTGGGAAGAGGCAAAAGTGTTGAAAGAGCAGTTTCCAGATTTCTATCTTGAGGACAAGATAGATTTTCCGCAGGGGAGTATTGATAGAGACCCATCTAATCCGAACACTGGTGATCAATATTTTGGAAGAGTGTACTCGAGAAGGAGGAAATAAGCTGAGAGTCTTGGGTTCTTTTATTTTGTTGTTAATTGAATAATCACTTTATGTTTTAAGAATACTATAAATAGAAGTAAGGCTGGGGGGGAATAGACAGGCTGTATGACAGAAGTTGTCTTGACGGGAAAGTTAGAGATATTTTGTCTCTTTCTTTTGGGAGGCTCTGGCCTTGGTTGCTTGTTCATTTCAATACCATTGTTGCTTATTTTCTCTAAATTCTCTTATGTTTTGTCTGTGATCTGGTTGGGTTTTATCAATCGTGCACATGAGGTCTCTTGTTGGTCAGTTTAAAATAAGAAATTTGTGTCCTGTGAGGGTGGACTTTTGGAATATGTGAATAGTGTCTCAAAAGTTTATTTTGAGATGAAGGTAGTATTATTTTATTTTAAAATCAAGATACACCATTGTACCCATACATTGTTTTGATGTGTACTCCGATATTGGTTCTGATAAATCTACAAAAAAAAGTATGCCATGCTTTAGAGGCACAAATAAATTTTATCTAACTCAGGGTGTAGATCAAACATTATTGATTTATGCTTATGGAGTATTATACTTATTGATTAAAGACCCACCTCTCCTCTCTTCATTTTCATTTTAATTTTAATTTTTTGTTAATCATTTATCTAATGTGAATCTTTTAAGCGGGAATACACCTGATGAAACTTGTTTTCAACAATCAAACAACAACAGAATAGAGAAGAAAATAGATAGATAGCTTCGATTCAATACACAAAGATGTAGAAATACAGACTGGAGTATGAATGGCGCCACTGAGGGGTGGACTCGGGTCCGGGCCGGGTCCGGGTCGGGCCTAGGCTCGGGCGGGCCGGTGGTTCAGGTGGACCCGGGACCGGCCCGGGAAGCCACCGGGTCCGGTCCGGGTCCGGGCCGGGTAGCCACTGGGTCCGATCTGAGTCCGGGCCAGGCCGGACCTCAGGTTTGGGTATTTTTTTTTTGCTAGACAATTCTCTTATTTCTAGGAAATCAATGAAACAGAACACACTATCTCAAAAATGAATGTCATGTTTAGCTTTTCTAAAGAAGTATTTGATTCATATAATTTCACTTTATTCTACTAAAATCGCAACCACAATTTTTACTGTGACCCATTTACTCCCTCCGTCCCATAATTAACTTCGGTTTTGACTGGGCACGGGGATTAAGATAGTGAGATTTGTGTGGTGGAGAGTTGTGCAGAGGAGAGAGAAATGTGTAAGAATGATTGTGAACCACATATTCTTTATCAAAAAAGAAAAGAGAAGATAAATTTGGGACGGAACGAAAAGGAAAGAGTGAAGATAATTTCGGGACGGAGGGAGTAATTAATAATTGTGTAAAATTAAAACACCACGTTGAATATGGGACGAATGTAACCATTAATTATTGAGTGAATTCTCAAATGAGTAAAACATGGGCTAAATGCAAAAATAGAACCACACCTATTGTTTTAATTTCCCAAAATAGTATTTCGTAATTATATGTGCGTGGACAATTGTAGCCCTGCAAGCCTATTGGCAGCAAGTTGCTGCTGGCTGCTGCCGATATGCCAGGCTAGGATCTCGCTGCCGCCGGTTTATCGTCACTACTGGACTGCTCCACCGTCGAGAGACTGACATTGATTATGCAGAGAATTAGAGAAAGACAGTTAAGTATATTAATAATTATATTAAATAATGAAAGATAATATTCATCGATCAGTCCTATATAATAAGGAAAACATTAAAAAGGATTGTCTTATTTAAGTTATTTGTACAATTTCCCATAATAATTATTTTAGAGTCCGTATATTATCTCCGTAGGTGTTGAGATTATTGCGGCAACTTTTTGTTTCTCAAAAAAATTTAATCTTTATTAGGTTATCCAATCCAATAGAATGAGCGCATAATTGACGGTGTCGCCGGCATGCATGCAAGCTAAGGCGAAAGAGAACAACCGCATGCGCCATGGCCGACGACAGATCCACCACCACCAAAGCCGCCGAGCAGGACAGGAATAAAGAGGTACGAACCATATATATTATAGCTTCAATTCCGATAATGATTTTTTTTCAAATATTTTAGAAAACGATCGAATTGCGCCATAAATTAAAATGCATGTAGCCTGAATGCCGGCCTGATCACGCACGTACCTTAATTAATTTGTATTGTTGTTTATTTTTTTTACTTGACTCCCAAAAATTAAAATCCCAGGAATCATTGGAACGGAATCGAGTTTGCGTTAGTAGTTCAAAAGCTTTTCAAGAAACGGCTACATTGCGCAAAAGTTTCTCAGGCAAGTATACTACGGCGTACATTCCATACGTATGTTTTCACCAATGACTACCATCAATATCAATATCAATATATATATATATATATATATATATATATATATATATATATATAAGTGGAACTTTTTAAGAACATACAAAACGCCACATAATCCTGCCATGTCATCCATCATATATAATAATTACTCTGTATTTAGTTATTTTTATACTCCATACCTTTTATTTTTATTGGATTCTATTTTTGATTGCATATTGATATGAAAACAAATCACTTTTGAAATACATCGATTCCTAATCTAAATTAGGAAATCCGTATATGTTTACAAATTCCTAATTTTGTTTACTCTTAATATGTTTTGAATTAGATTGATTTCAGTTTCAAACTAAATCAGATCACATCAAACTTTAATAATAATTGGACACATGAAATGTAAAACAAAAATTTACCAGATCATATTACTTTAGACCAAATCAAACCCGAATTTTAATTCAATTAAAACGTCCTTATTAATGACGTTTCCAATGTGACGAAATAATAAGTAAAATGTAAAATCTTACTATTAAAAGTATGTAGTCCATATTTCATACCAAGTTGAATGAGGAATCATAAAAAATATATTTTGAGGCATATAATAAAGTAAATTAGAGGACATGAAAATAATTGAGAAGCTTTTCTATGAATTCTTTAAAATCGGGTTCATAACAATTATGCTTAGTAGAGAAGCTTATGTAGAAGACCATTTGTACTATTTTTCATATAATTTTTATTTATTTAACAAATGGAATATATATTTTTTTCATGATTTGGGATATTCATCTATTCAACCTATTCAGCTAGAATTTAATTAATTTCAGCAAAATAAACTCATTACACCAATATTAGTATTATCAAACAGACTCTGTATTTAGACTAAGTTTATTTTGCTTTTGCGTCACATTATATATGATTCCAAAAACTAATCAAATTTTAAATTAGATAAATTACACACCACCCGTGCATCGCACGGGCTTGAAACCTAGTATAATATATGTATATATGCAGGGCGGTGTCAGGATTTAGTCGTAGGGGGGCAAAAAGAAACACAAACCATAAAGAGAAAGTTCACTAAATAGTGTTAAAACAAAAGTTAAATTCATAAATAGTATTATCGTTGTTTTATTCTCAAAATATGACTTAATGACTTATTCATTGCTATTTTAGCAACATTTAATCAAATTATTTTTTATAGGACTAAGTAAAATCTATTTGAGGAATAAAACATATTTTTTCATACTTTACATCATATATATGGAATTATTTCATGAAGAATGATCTTGTCAAAACTACCCGAAATGATCCTCCGTCTGACCGCCTATGTTTGAGGTGCTTCCGGCTTTATTTTTTTGATGATTTTTTTTTGAGAATGTTTTTTTGATGTGTAGATTATCTACAACAAATTTTAGTTTAAAATTCAATCTGAAAGTCAATTAAATAAATTATTGAAAAACAATGCGCCGAAATGTAGATAAAAAACGCAATGTTTTTCCATAATTTATTTAGTTGACTTCCAATTGAATTTTAAGTTAAAATTTGGTGTACATAATCTACACTTAATGAAAAATAGAGTTACAAAATTTCATAAAAAAATTCTACCCGAAAGCATGACAAAATAGAGGCATCTATCAGGTAGTTCTAACCTAATATTTTCTGATTATTTCATATTTTTTTAGGATAGTAACTCTGTGATTCATATGTATTTCATTTCAATTGAAAATTTCAAACCATGGAGTGGTATATTGTTAGAGGTAATTTGAATTTGCACCTCATTTTATTGTCCAAATTAGACTTTGCACCCCGTTTTTTAAAATCTTTGTTTTTGCACCCCAACCCCATGTGAAAAGACAAAAATGCCTTCAACCAAGAATATGCCGAAGGCCAACAAAATTGTTAATGGATGGATATTTTTGTCTTTTCATATGGAGTTGGAGTGAAAAAACAAAGTTTTTTAAAAACGAGATGCAAAATCCAATTTGCACGATAAAATGGGATGCAAACTCAAATTACCCTGTTTGTAATATAGGTTTATGGAATGTAAGTAATGGAACTTGGATTTACTCCCTCCGTCCCTAAATTATCTTCAAACTTTCCTTTTTCGTCTGTCCCAAAATTATCTCCTCTTCCCCCTTTTAGCAAAAAATTTGTGGTTCACAACCATTCTTACACATTCTTACACATTTCTCTCTCCTCTGCACAACTCTCCACCACACAAATCCCACTATCTTAATAAATGTGCCCAGCCGAAAAGAGAGAAAGATTAGGGACGTAGGGAGTATATTCTAGTTCCAAGGAGATATTCTCCTTAGCCAGATGTGAACCACCATCATATTCTGTTGTTGACCATTTCAAAATACGGACATCCCGTCGGCGCCCCGGCCGAAGTGGAAAGTCAGCTTCGGCACGCTGATCTCCTCCGCGCCCGACGGCAATTTGAAGCACAAGTCCAGACCCGTCGACCCGGATTCGTCCACCGTCAGATCCATCTGCTTCTTAAACTCACTCTTCAGCGCCGCGAACGCCTCCGTCTGTAGGTACGTCAGGGTGGTGCTGGAGTCGATTATCATCTCGCCGCTACCGTCGCGGCTCAGCTTGAACGCCGCCTCGGCCACGGGGAGCCGCGTGTCGCTGACGGTTATCCCCTCGAGGGTAATATAGTAAAACGACGGCTGTGAGGGATTTTTTTACCAGAGGGGTAGTGACTTTTGTGGAATTCCCAGATTTGCCCCCGGATAGGGACCCATCAGAAGCGTGCTCTTTGCGCCGCCCTCGATGGCGGACAGGGGAGGCGGGCGAAAGAAGACGATTTTTCGGGGTCGAAAATCGGGGTTTTCTGCTGGAAGCAACTCCTGCATGGCTTACACTGAGAAGTCACTGCCTGTGTCCACGATTGCCTCGAACGGTGACGGCGGAGTCCTGATGGACAGTTCCATAAAGCACTCGCCGGAGCCGGGGTGTACCATCGACTTCAAGTCGGATCGCCCCGTCCCATCCGCCATGCTGAGCCTGTGGAGCCGGTAACTGCCGCGCTTCATGTTGAGTCTCAGGCGTTCGATTCCGGCCAAGTTTCTGCCAGAATCGACGTGCCGGAGAGTCGCCCGGAACCCTCTGCTCATGTGTTTGAGCCCGTTTCTAGAGTTGGAAGCCACCGAGAGCACAAACAAGATTGAAACGGAAATAATGGCGATAAAGAAGATCAACGGAAAGGGTGAGGCCATTTTGGTTAATATTTATTGAATCAGACTTGGGGTACACACTTTGTGTACACACTCTTACACACTCATGCACACTTATGTTTGTGAGGCGTTTTTTATGTCTGTCTCAGACAAAACGTATTTGTCAAATACGGTTTGTTTAAAGCCTTCGCAAACATGAGTGTGTAAGAGTGTGTACCAATAGTGTGTACCAATAGATTTTTTCATATTTATTAAAACTCGTTTAATCGCATAAACACCTGATGATTTCATATTGAATACTAGTACTAGTAAAAAATTAGGACGGAGGTCGTAATAATGATTCTTTACTGTATGTGCTTAAAAACTGCATTCAAGTGTATATATATTTATAGTTTGTTCACGGCTCACAGAAAGGCATAGCAGCGCAAAGATCAGTCATGAAGCAGAGGCAGACACAAAAGTTAGTGGGACCATCAGCCCAACAGCCAAAGTAAAAGATTTGAGGTATGGCTCGAAACCTTAACACTAACCAATGCTATGTATTCAAATTCTACTATCAAATTATTATTAATTAATTGTGACATACATACTACTGTCACCACATATAGGAATTATAGGGTTTTTGTTGCAACATGGAATCTGGGTGGAAAGACTCCCAATCATGGACTCAACCTGGAAGATTTTTTGCAAGTGGAGGACGCCCCTGACATTTATGTCCTCGGGTATGCATGAGTTTGTATGTGCGTGTAATCTACACACACACAATAAATACACACACATATATTGGTTCAAGTGGAAATGTATCTAATGTGAGAAATGAGAATGGATTTTACGATGTTGCGCTAAAATAAGATTTATGTTGCTTTAGAATTTGAATTTTGCGATGTTGCACTAAAACGATTTCATACTGCATTAGGATTTGACAATGTTGCAAAATGATATCCTAAATGTTTCTTATAGTTTCTTACAGAAAACGATTTCATACTGCATTAGGATTTTCAAAAGTATTTACGAACATGTCATCGCACATATATAGTTTCTTATTCCAGTGCAACATAAACCTCTTTTACTATAACATAGTCGAATCCAACAGTTGGGATTTATTCTCATTTTCTCCCCTAAAGGTTTATTCTTATTGGAACTTCACCCTATATATAGCTGTGTGCAAGGTTTAAAAAGGCGGGTTCGGGTTTCAAGGCGGTTTGTTCCTAAGAGGCGAGGCGTAAGCCTAAAAAAATACACATATAAAATTTGATATAATTAAACTAGTAGCAAACAACTCAAGAAGTAAAGGATATCCATAATTATAAGTCCAAAAAGTGTGAGACACAAATACATGTGACCTATTACAGTAAGTCACTAGGCTTCAAACACACAAAAAGAAACATCTCACAAAAACAGACACATCACAGTCTCACAAACACACAGAAACAACCCACACAAATTGCATCACAAACAACCAGACACATAACACAATTGACATAGTTTAAAAATCTTGAAGGCTTGCAGCTGAATCATCATGACAGGAAAGCCTAACACTTTTATTGCAAATTTTTGTAATAAATTTGCAATAAGACCTAACACTTTTATTGCAAATTTTTGAAGCTCAAGAGTGCCATCTCCATATTGAATCCACCATTCAACTGAAAAGAAGAAAACGTTTCTTGAACCATAAAGCTTAAGTGTCCAGAAACACAGAAAGCTCAAGTGTCATCTCCATATTTCTTTAAAAAGCTAAAATGTACAGTTTTGAAATAGAAAATATCATATTTTTAATATTAAATGTGCAGAAACAAGGAGATGTCGCAGGAGAAGAGAGAGTTCTTTGCGTAGGTGAATAGAAAATATACGTTAAGGTTCAAATTCTTATTAGGATTTGAATGAAATAAGACTTGTTAGGGTTTAGTAAATGGGCTTCTATTTAGAAAGAACTCTGGGCTTTTTATTAAATGAAATACTTGGGCCTATTTTAAGTCATTGCGCAAATGTTCAAGGCGTGCGCCTCAACAAACGCCACAAGGCGCGCCTCAATCTATGATGCGTAAGCTTCTTTACTTGTGAAAAAAACCTACGCCTTGATACCCAACCAGTACACCTCAGCTTGAGCGCGCCTCAGAACTTGCCTCATAAGCGCCTTTTTAAACCATGTCTGTGTGTAAATGAGAATGAATCTCGTGTGTTAGGATTTCAGAGATTTGTATTCTGTGAAGTAGAGATACACACCCTCATAAATCAAAAGACGTGGCGTCATTTTTGTAACGATATAAAAAGTCTCTAGACACAACAAACTTTACGTAAATCAAGTCAATGTAGATTCTTGTGGGGCACCCCCATGGTTCACTATGGCAGTGCAAAACCCCACTACTATGAGGTGGATGGACATGAGGGGTTACACCACATCGCGATGCCAACAGGCACCAGCTCGAAGATTCACATGTGACCTCGCTCTGATACTACTCGCTCTGATACCACTTTTAGGATCAATTCACCCCTCTATACAAGCTTCCAAGTGGGTGACTCGTCCTTTGGATTTCCTGCCCCGGTCTCGCTTAACTACAGAATTCTATGGTTAAATAGGAGGGCCATATCCTTCTTAAAACCAATTAGTGATAAGGAGGTGGACACACTCTATTAACACATTACTCTCTGTAGTGACTAAGGAAAGGTGAATTTATGTGGGACAGCCCCCACAGTTCACTACGGCAGTGCAGAGCGCCACTACTGAGCCGTGGGCGGACATGAGGGGATGCACCACATCTTGGTGAACCAGAGAGCTGGTCTACTGAGAGTTTTACCTCGAATTCCATTGCTGTAGACACTTTGAGATTAAACTTGTTCTTATATATAAGTGTGCACTCCACTCCTATTGACTTGTATTAGATCATATATTTTAAATCCCCATTGACACCTATATCATTTCCAATTACACAAAATGGTCGGTCACACAACAATCCTCCCCCATTTTATTGTAATCGATGAAATGACATAACAAAGTTTACAAATAAAACTTGTACATAAATGAAAATGTCGATATGATTGAATTTCCATCCTAGTATTTTACACATTCCAAATATTCGAGAATTGAGCTGTCCTATAGATTGAACCCGTCAACCCATTTGAATACATGTAGATAAAATACTTACAAGTTTCTATACTCAACTAGAATACAAACTTGACACAATTATAAAGTCATGTGTCCTAACTCCACTCATGACCGTATAAAAGCCAAATTTCGAGCCTTTTGAAGTGCGACTACACTTCATGACCATATAAGTAACTCTTTTATTCATGTACATGTTTATATTTTATCAAAGGAATTATTAAGAAATGAATTCAACCTTTTCCACTACACGTCCAAACATACACCTTGGGATGATTTGAATTGTGTGTTCCAATCCATAATTGTGAGCTTTCCGCATTGAATTCGGCCTCTAACATTGTATTAGAGGAGAATTAGGTGTCTCACCACTAAGGACTTAAATGGACTTTCGTCCCATCTCTATCATAGACTTGTGCACTAAGTCCCTGGCCAATCTTTTGGTCAAGTGGTCCGCCAAGATATGTTGCGATCTTACAAACTCCACCGAAATTACACTGTTCATGATTAACTCCCCAATCATACTATTTCTAACACCCAAATGTCTAGACTTGCCATTATAAGTATGACTATATGCTTTAGTCAAAGTGGCAACACTATCACAATGGATAGAAATAGGTGCAATCGGTTTTGACCATAATGGAATCTCGAATATTAAATTTCTTAACCACTCTGCCTCTTCACCGGTGGTAGCCAACACAACAAACTCAGATTTTACTGTTGAATTTGTGATACAAGTTTGCTTCTTGGATGCCCATAAATGACACTTCCCTAAGCAAGAATATCCAACCACTTGTAAAAGAATGATCCTCTACATTGGATATCTAACTTGCATCCGAATATCCTTCTAACACCGAAGGATACTCAATGTAACACAAACTATATCCATGGTTCCCTTTAAATACTTAAATATTCTCTTCATTGCTTGCCAATGTTGAGTATTTAGATTACTTGTATACCGACCCAACCTACGAATGACATAAGCAATATCAGACCGAATACTTATCATGGCATACATCAAACTATCAGTAACTTGGGATTACTCAAGTTGTGATATTGCCTTTCCTTTATTAGGCATCAACTTTATAGTACGATCTATCGGAGTGCTAACGTGTGAACAATCGCTATTATTAAACCTTTTGAGAATATTCTCAACATAGTGAGCTTGTGTCAAAGTAATCCCTTTATTTACTCGTTTAATCCTTATTCCAAGGATCACATCCGCTCCCCCATGTCCTTATGGAAAACCTTGATGATAACAACCTTTTAATTTCATCAACTTTAATTTGGTATGTTTCAAAAAACAACATATCATCAACACAGATACATATAAACACACCCGCTTCTAAAGCATCAAACCGACTATAAACACACTTGTCCGATTGGTTTAAAATAAAATCATTAAACAAAATAACTTCATCAAACTTTTTATGTCATTGTTTGTGTACTTATTTCAACCCATACAATGATTTAACAAGTTTACATGTCTTATGTTGGTTTCCAGGCATAACGAAACCTTCCGATTGTTTCATGTAAACATCCTCATCAAGTTCACCATTTAGAATGATATCTTGACATCCATATGATGTATAGTAAGATCGTGCTAGCCGCCAAAGCAATTAATAACCTAATGGTTGTAATTCGAGTTACCGGCCCATACATGTCAAATAGTCAATTCCCGTTTTCGTCTAAAACCTTGAATGACTAATCGGGATTTGAATTTGTCAATTGTTCCATCCACCTTCATCTTCTTTTTGAAGATCCATTTGCAACATAAAGGTTTAGAAGCCGGTGGCAAATCCAACAACACCTAAGTGTTGTTCTCCAAAATTGATGACATTTCATCATCAATTGCCTCCTTCCAAAAGGCAACACCTCAGGACTCCATTGCCTGTTTAAAGGTCTTTAGATCATTCGCAATTTGGTAACCGTATGAATATTGTACCCCTACTTCGTCTCTTGAGCCTTCCACTAATTTGGTTTTCACGATGCGACCTCTTTTCCTGTTCCTAATTTGTGGTATTTAGGATACGAAATACCATCCAAACTTCTTGGAACTTCAATCTTACTAGTGCTTGGAAGTAAATCTTTTGTCCTTTGAATTGATTAAAATCTCATCTCATAAAAAAACACATCACGAGACTCAGTCATGGTGTTAACCGTTACCGCATCATTACGTCCTATTACACAAAACCTATAAGACTTAGAATAATGAGAATATCCAATGCATATCCAATCAATTCCTCTTTCTCCCAAAGTTTTCTTTTTGGGCTCGAGCAATTTTACAACCATCCAACAATCCCAAACTCAGAAATATTTCAAATCTGGCACTCTCTTGTACCAAAGCTCATGACGTTGTCTTGTTCCGTTTGTTTGGAACCCTATTCAAAACATAGCAGACCGTGAATTTCTACACTTTAAATTTATATACTTTAAATTTCCGTAAGAATTTATCCTTAGTGTGTATTGAATACACATAACAAAACCGAGTTGAATCATCAATAAAAGTAAAAACATACTTCTTAATGCTAAGGGAAGTAGTCGAGTGAAAATCACATAGATCACTATGTACAAGATCCAAAATAGCTGAATTCTTTTCAATATTAGGAAACAATTGTTCTGTGA